ACAACTATGACAACAGAAACGTAGCGTGAGGATTTACTTGCGCCGAGGTGTGAACAGTCAGGAATTCCCTTCGATTTTATGTGAGCTGGTTGTCAATAGAATGGAAGAATGATTGATAAATAAAAGGAACTGGGAGAGTATTAAAAGGGAGTAATATTGTCTACAGTGTTCTCTAAGATCCGATACGCTGTATTACTTTATCATAATTTATTAATGAAATGGAGTAATATTGTCCACAGCATCCTCTAAGAACCCGATAGGCTGTATTTGTTTATCATAATTTATTAATCACGAACTTTTATATACTAAAACTCGGATCGATTCCAGCTGCCTGGCAAATAAGCTTAATATGTTTATTTGATACGCGCCACGCATTTTGATGTATTTATGAAATTGTGAATATATTATTTTATTTTTCCTTTTGCGTTTTGTATTATTGGCAAACGCCAAACGGTGCAAATATATTTTCATTTATGTGTTTATACATTTCGATACGCATTCATCATGAAACATTGACAATTTTATCTGTGCGAATGCGAGAGGCAATTCTGGCCCAAGTTATCCTGTCCGCACAGAACTCAATCCCTCCTCCGCCCACCCCGCCCCCGTTCATGGCAGGGTTCGACCATTGGGCAAGCGAAAAAGTAAATTTATGCCATTGCCATGGAGGAAATGCGTGTTTAGCAAATGTTTTAAATTGTATAACGAGAATTTATGACGGACAGCGTTTTGGGTGAAGGTAAAAATTGCATGTTAAAATTCGTTTAATATTTTTTTTTTATTTTATATATTTGGCACTTCTTTTTATTATTTGTGTGTTGTCGAAAATATCGCATATATAAAAATGACAGCCGTGCGTTGAGCGGGCACATAAATTGTCATTTATTTTGGGGCCTGCGGCATTTCGAAATGGGCGTGGGCGTCGCCATGGGCATGGTATTTGTGCAGCATTTCAATGAGCAAATGCAAATAAATTAAAAATACACGCAAATAGACGAAGGCAAACGGAAAATATTGATGCTCTTTGCGTTTGGCGTTTCGCTTTCATAATTTTTGTTTCTGTTTTTATTTTTATATTTTTTTTATTTTATGTCTACATTTGGCGAACGTGACGAAATGTGTTGTGGCTCTTCTGCCCTAACCATGCGCCACGTTCCATAAATTAGATCGCATTTCATTGGGCCCCACAGTTGGCTAATGCGTCGTATACGCAATGCCCCAAGATACACGTGGAAGAGCGGCAAAAATTAATAGAATTTCCAGCCAGCCAGCGACTCGCAGCTTAAATTAAAGACGCTGTGGTTGCTGCGGCTGCTGAGGAGTGTGGAGAGAGGGCAGTCTGTGTATAGGAGAGAGGGGCGTGTGGGAGTTGTGGTTTGATGTGCGCCACGGCACGCTGATGAATGTGTGCAGACCGCTTAATTATTCATTGAGGGCAATGCATTGGAATGCCGTAGTATTATGCCAGGCCGCAAGCTTATAAATAGCGCGGCACAAACTGTACCAAACCATGCAATTGTGGTGCCGAATGCCGCCACATTAATCAGTGGTGCACATTGATTAGAGCGCTCGAGTGCAATAAAAGCCGCACACAATGCGAACAAACAATCATAACACATGAAAGTCTCTAAACAATGATGAACTTTGCGAGGCACACAAACTCCTCTCGACGGATGTGTGTCGCCTGTGCCAACTGCGACTGGCGCATTGTTTGTCTGATGAGCAAATCCCGCGAGGCATCTAATGTTATTTTTATGGCAATTTTATGTTTGCCCTGCATCGCCTGCGCCTCTCTGGCTGAGTCCACATGCATTTACACATCATAAAGCCAGCGATAATTGCAGTGAAAACTAGAAAATTCTTGCATTGTTACCCCGTCTGCTGCCGGGGTGTCCGCCCCTTGGAGTCGTCTGTGTCAAGTAATAATATGTCTGTAATCATTAGACGCCAGCGTGCAATGACTTCACACACACACACACACACACTCAAACTCATACCCCTTTACATACGTAGGCTACAGTTATCATCATCCGGACATGCACACTGCCTACGACCGACATAAGCGGCAAAACTGTTGGCCACGAGTTCGGGTATTTATAAAAAAAAATAATAAACACATTTATTAAGTGATCATGAATAATATAGCTCCAACCAAAATCTGGATGAATATATGTGCAATGACAGATTTACGAGAGAAACTCTACAAGTTTCTTACTTTCGAAAACGTCTTTGAAATCTTTTGTCGCCTGTGCCACACACAGTTGTGCGTATATGCATATGTGTATGTGTGTGTGTTTGTTTCTTGGCGTGAATGTGATGTGTGTTCCTGTGCGTGCTGTTCCCTTTCTTTTTTTTCTTTTTTGGAATATTAAACATGAACAAAATGTGAGCGTGCTTTAGCTGCGTTTTGTGAACCCAATGACCGACTTGTTTGTTGAGTAGGTGTTTGGGGTGGGAATGAGTGTGTGAGTGTGTGTGTGGGTGTGTGTGCGGGTGTGTGCAGATGTCTAGATGAAGCTGCTGCTGACTGCGAACACTTTCAATTGCTTTTCACTGATGTTTAAGAAATCAGAAAAAACTATAGCATACTTATGAGTGCTTATATAGCTGAATGTTGGGCAAAAGAAAAACTACTACTAGAATTTCTTAAATCTAAACATAAACATGTCAAAAGAGTTGAATGCTCGCAAATTAGTTGTTCTGGGCTTATCTGTTGATCAGGTAAAATGCATATATTTTTATCTGGTTAGTGAGACGCAATTAAACAAGAAGTCAGTTTGGGCAGGAGCACAATTTGTAATCAAATGAAACATTTAAATTATTTTGTTGGCAGTAGAAGGCACTCAGCACAGGGCAAAAACATAAAGAAAAGTAATTTGTATGCAAAATAGATGCGACTGTCAGGTTGTAGGAGGGCCTGATAGAGCTGAGGCTGAGGAGTTGGTGTCACACTATTTGCGACTGGCTCACATTTACATGCTAAATAGCTGCAACTGGCTAAATCCGTTGATGACAATCCACTCAGACTGTCTGCTGAGGCCTGGAGCCCAATAGAGCCCAATGGAGCTGCCATTGTCTGAGCTGCCGAAATAAGCCAAGAGTACAAATTTGATTTTGAAATGCCAGCGCTCACTCACTCAGTTTCTTGCCAGGCTTGTAATTGAAATGTTAAATAATGAAGCCTGTGGAGCGCAAAAGATTCAATCAGCTCATGAATTAGTTCGAGTTGCGTAGATTTAAACGAATTTTAGCTGACAAAAGGACGAGCACTGGGACAGGACACGTATTATTACCTACGAGCTCGACGAGAGTCGATAATCAAATTTATGCAATTTCCAAACAACTTGAAACAAAACAGAGACACACACACACACACAGTATTGAAAAAGTTGACGCAATCAATTTCAGTTAATTTGCCCCCTTTCTCTCACACATACATTCTTCTTCATCTCCCCTGTTCTTCTCTCTGTTGCTATCTCTGTTCTTTGCTCAGTTGTTGCAAAGTGTCTAAATTAGCGCGCATTGCAACCTGGCAAGTAAAGTTTTTCGCTCAAGTAAAAGTGCAAATTCTTAATTCTCTACAATTCTCTCTCACTCTCTCTCTCTCTCTCTCTCTCTCTCTATCTATCTATCTATGAGCCAAGTTGAGGCGCGTTTCAGCGTTATGACTGTCAATGAGCCGATGCTGGCCAACTGCTGCCTGCCTCAACTGCAAATTTCTACTGGTATGTGCAACAGCAACAACAACTAAAACAATTGTTGCTGTTGTTTTTGTTGTGGGTCTCGCTCAGTGGGCCAAGTTTGGCTTCAGTCTGCGGCAGTCAGCACTTTTTTGTTTGGCCTAATGATGCGCAGCCCCATGCTCGTGTTTTTGGCAAGTATTCGTGTGTGTGTGTGTGTGTGTGCGTTTGTGTGTATAAGCCTGAGTTGTTGTTGCTATTATTGTACATATCTGTGAAATGCTGCTGATGCAGGCGCGCTTATGCTATACATGAGTATGGGTGTATAATGCGCTCATAGATATATGTATAGAGGAGCACAGCTTGCAGCAGAAGTATTCATTTGAAGTGCATAATTATTGCACTTAACAAACAAGTAATTGTTTTTATTTGGATTAAAAATTTTTTTATTTACAACCGATAAGCTGTTATTATTTTGCTAGGGCTAGACTTTTTTTGTTGGCCAGGTTCTTTTTAGGCCTCCCTCTTTCTTGCCTCCTCAGCAGGTTCCTTAGTCAGGACGCTAGGGAAGTAATTGTTAGTTTAGAATAAATGAAACTGTAGATTTAAGAGTAAAAATCAATTTTTTGGCTTTTATAATTTGTTCAAAAGCACGAGGGTAACAAAGAATATTTATAAAAGTTTCACTTAATCGTTGAAAATTATTTAATAAATTAAAATTATATCAACAAAATTTAACGATTTTATTTGATTGCTTTTAAAAATAAATACATTTTATACAAAAACACAGCACAACACAAGTTTAAATGTATAACCGATTTTAGCTTTTGTTTTGGGTATCTTTTTTCATGCTTCTTGTTAATCAGCTCCTATTTAAATAATTTTGTATTGACATCATTTTGAATAGCCTTGCTGACTAATACTAATGAGGTTTTCATATTATTATTTAAACTAGCCTTGTGGTGAATTTCCCCCTATTTTCAAAATCTAACAGCAAACGAAACAGCGAAAAGCTGTGCTACAAAATGGAATCGAAATACAAGAGAGCGCGAGATTGAACTATTGAGAAACTCTCTGAACAGCAAACTCTCTCGAGTGACGTACTCTCTCAAAATCTCTCTCTCTTTCTGTCGCTCTGCGTTTGCTTTCGCAACCTCAGACAATACGAAACAGGTTTTGTGCGAGCGTATTTCCTTTCTGGCCAAGTTAGCTCGGCTTTTCTTAGCCTGACTTCCGGTCGTTGCCATCGGCCGAAGTCGTGCGTGTGGCCCAAGTGAAAAGCAGGTAATGAGGAGAGCGAAGCTTTTAGTCTTGGTCGGTTATTGGTGCTGTGTGGTTGAGACGACGACAAGCGCTGCGAGCCCGACAGAAGAAGCGACGACAGCGACGACTGCGACGACGACGACGTTGATTCGTAATGTGTGTGTGTGTGTCTGTGTGTGTGTGTACGTGTGTGAATTAGCAGTGAAAAGGCTAAACTAGGTGTGCGAGTGTGTGCATATGACAAGGCAGAAACGAAATAAAAACAATAACAAAAAATAAGTCAATGAGTGTGGGACTGCAGCGAAACACTCGCGAGTCGCATTCACATTCAAGCGAGTTTATTCAAACATTTATTTGCCGTCTCGTTTGACAAATTAAAATGCATAAATTATGAATGAAAGTAGCGTTACGTGCGTGTCAACTAATAATTTGTTATTATTCTAATGCACGTGGCCAGAGCTCGAAATACTTCGCACCCTGTGTAACTTCAACTCAAACTGGCGAGACAAGGCCGTGAACCGCGCCTTCCGCCTTCTCGCATAAGCCAAATAAACAACAAAAAATATGCCAATTGCCAGCAGCAACAACAATAGAAACAACAACAAGCGCAGCAGCTCAGAGGCAAAGCTGCCTTTTCATTGCCAACATCGTTCACTTCCTGGCCACAAAGCATATTAAGACCCAGAGCGGCAAAGGAAAATGTGAGTATTACAGTGAGTCGCACAATTTAAGCCATATTTCCCTTGAGGGCCGGGGCGGACGCTCTGCACATTTTTCTAATGGACTGCACAACAAATTTCAGTTGAAATTTTAGCCCGTGCCGCACACGCGCCTCAGGTGTCCACATAAATTACAATAATTATGAAACTCTTGCTATAAAACGGCCAAAACAGTGGCCAACATGGAGACCCAAACATTGGCCAAAACGGTGGCTATTTATCTGCCTCAAGTTGCGTTAGTTTATGAAGCCAATTTAAAAATTGGCATTGTTATTTAAAGCAATTGAAAAACTTGCCCAAAATATATTAAAGGTGTTTGGCTTTCAAGTATTTGAATATTTTCTGTGACATTGTAACTAAGCCAAAAAAAAGCTGGGTTTATTTTTGGAATTTAATGAAAAATGTAGCTAAAAATAAAAATTCGTTAAATTGCTTTTCGGCTTTTAATTCAAGACTTTCATCGAGAGAGTCTCTTAAGAACGAGATTGTACACAAATTGTAAGCAAACGCCAGGTGCTCGAGTCGCAAGTGCTTGATAGATAAATGCTCAGTATTAAGTTGTTAAATGATGCAAACATTTTGAGCAAAAAATGTTGCAATATTTATATAAATTTTATATTTTACGTTACTTTGCGAAAGAACAATTAGTTGGCTCTACTCTTGTATTTAAATTCTACACATTTAGTTTATGTTGCAATTTGAGCTTAAATTTTAAAGCAATCACCGGCTCAAAAGAACCTGCCAAAGGGACAGCATTGGCCCTGGCCCCAAACGCACATACAGAAAAGCAGCACAAAAATAAATGGCCCGACTCAGAACAACGATGTTCAGTCAGTCTGTCAGTCAGTCAGTCTGTCACTGTGTCTGTCAGCCAGTCGGAGAGTCAGTCATTTAGTCAGTCAAGCAGTGCAGGCACTCAGTCATTTCTTTATTCAGCATTCAGCCGAGCTTGGCCTACATAGCAGCACGAGTTTAGCCTGTTTGTGTATAGGTGTGTATGTGTATGTGTGTGTGAGGCTGTGTGCGTGCAAGTGTTTGCAGTGTGGTTGGCTTTGTTGGTGCGGCTATCGAAATGTCTTGCCACGTTGCCTTCGTGTGGCAATGTCGGGCTTAAAGCGAAATTTAAAATGCGAATTGCGGCACACACGGCGTATGCGTAATATAATTTCATTAGGCCAAGCTGCCGAAGATGCGCTCCAAACTGGCAGCCCAGGCAGCAGTTGATGACCTCTGCGAGGCGCCGTTCTTCGGCCTTGGTGCTGCTTCGCTTTGGTTATTTGCATATTTAACAAGGCGTCGCTATTCAAGCCACATAATTAATTATGCAAAAGGTTGAGAAAAACAGAACTTGGCTATGTAAATGCTCGAGCTAGTCTATTTACTTATACACATGCCTGACAAGATAGAGTATACGCACCGTGGTCCAAACAACTATTTTGCATAAGCCACTCGAATGGCTGGCACGTGCCTGAATCTAGCTTTAAATAGCTGACAACAAGGTGCTAAAATTATTCATAGCTTCTAATTACGTAACATGATTTTCATTTGAAAAGTTTCCTCTCTCACTTGCTGTGTGTGTTCATTTTCTTATGTTTGTTTAATTGATTTTATGTAAATTCAATTTTTGGCCAAGCAATACAAATGAAACCCGAAATGCATAGCTCTTGTCATATTTCGCTTTTGAGATTTCGAGATTTGCCAACAAATATTATTAATTTATACACTTATTTATGTGTTTGTCTTACTGGGTCTCGAGCAGCTTAATTGAGTTTATATCATGGCACTCGAATTAGTCGCCAGCTCGACGCATCTTTTCGGAGAGAGCATAATTGCCATTAAACACATTCTGTTAGTTATTTATAAATTACGCTGCATTCCATAGATACCTTCGTTATGAAAACATATCAATTTACAAGTAATACAATGGCATCTATCAATGTGGGGCCAATTATAATATTTTATATTGAATTAAATGTGCTACGATTATATAACATATTGAATGTCCTAGCACATTACGTAAAAAATAGAATTTTATTAAAATTCATTAATAATTTGCTTTGCATGCTTGTAGAAAATATAGCTTATTATATTTTATAGTCTTTTTTATTTTGCATAATTTTTCAAATTAAGGAAAAACACAAATTTAAAAGTATTTTTTATTTGTTGTACGTTTTGCTTTATTTAATAAGTTTCTTTAAGCAGCAATAAAAGCGCAGCTAGTTCATAACTATTAATATTAAAAACATTTCTGAAAAAAATGTTATTTCGAATTTAAAAAACATAAATAATAAAATAACTTACTATATTTTATTTGTACTTAATTTCTTGCAGTTTAATAGTTGCAACTGGCACAAAACAAAGTCTGTTGCAATACAAATGTTGTTGGAAATTTGGAAACTGTAATTTTTTTGATGCTTCAATTAATTTAACCACACAAATTGGAAGAAGCAGCAGAAGAGAAGCAACAATAACAACAACAGCGAGAGAAGACAAACTGTAATGGGAAAGGAAGCAAAGACAAACGCGCGCAAATAACAGACAAACACAAATTGCTGAACAAACACTGGCAGGACGCACGACATGTAAATGTAACTGCGAGCACATTCATGTACGTGTGTAAAGGTGTGTGTGTAGAGCGCATAATAAGAAGAGCAAATAGCAAGAAGCGCGTGGAAAATAAAAATAAATAGCAAACGACAAAACGCATACCACAACCCAAAGGAGAAAGGCTAAAGAAGAAAGTAGGGGAAGCGGAAGTGGTGGATAGAGAAGGAAAGGAGGACATCGGATCCTGGTGGGTGACGCGTTCCCTCGTTGGCGGTCAAGGGAAATTTATTGCATTGCGCAAATGAGACAACAACAAGACGAGCAGCCAAACTAAAACGCAAAGCAAACAGCAGTAAAAGCAGTCAAAGGAGAACAAAATGGAATAAGTAGAAGCAACAAAAAAAAAAAAAAAGAAAAAAAATACGCTACGTACCCCAAATTGTAGCTAAAGAAAAATAACCGAAAAATTCCGCAACAAATTGAAAAATTAAAGTTTTACCAGCGCCAAGCCAAGCTAACGAAACCGACGAAAGAAAAACTTGGCCAAGAAAAAGCGCCAAAAGTGTTACAAACAGCCACCAGAAGAGAAACCCAGCCAGACGGAGCAAAGGGAGGGAGGAAGACGCAACGGAACACATTAATGCTACAAAATGGGTGCAACTTTGAATAGACGACGACGTGGCCGTTGCCTGCAACTGAGCGCCTGCTGCTCCTGCTCCTGCTCCTCCACATCCTTCACATTCAGCCGCCTGCTAGTGCTGGCTCTGACGCTGGCCGCCCTGCTCTGCAGCGGTGAGTACTTTACGAGCGGGGGTTTGGGGGCTAGTTCCTGAATGTTTATTTAATTTATTAGCAACTTTGGCGAACGTCAACGCCAGCAACAAACGAGCCCTACAAAAATTGGCCAAGAAGTTTTCCTTTTTTGTACACAGTTCTTTTGGTTGGGAGGCGTGCAAATATTTTAGCCAACAATATTAGTTTGGCAGCCACATTTTGGCGCCCCTTTAAGAGCCATGTGCCATATTCTGATACGAGCTCTTAATCGATTTAAGGCCTGGCAGACTTTGACAGTTGACAGAGTCAACGGCGAACCAAAGCCTTCGAATCTTTGGATCCCGAATACATTGCCAAGCTGCTCAAATCTCTGCAGTAATTGGCAGGCGATAAACTTTGTGGCATGTTTAACCCTCTTCACGACCTTCGGTTCACTTTAAACTTGACGCATTAATCTGAACTTTGGCTTACTTATTTTTAATTAAGTTCATCAAACTAGTTAAAAATATAAACAAAAATTAACTGCCAACTTGGCCCTGTGGCCAGATTTTTGGGGACATTGAGACTAAGTTGGGTTCAAAAGAATGCAAAGTTTGATTATAAAATTCAGATTTTTGTCTATTTTAATTTTTTGCAATATATTCAATATGTGCATGTATGTGCAACAAGTACATTTTGTTATTTAATAGCTGGCATACGCGACGTATATGCAATGCAAACAAATCACAAAAACTGTTTGTCGCTTTCTAATTGGTTAAACAAAAATAGAAATATAAATATATTTATTAGTTATTATTTAAATTAATGGAATTTTTAATTTGGAAAGATTTCCGAACAAAAAGTTATAATTATCATACCATTCTCTCAGCGGTTGAAGGTAATATTTTGACATGAATTTCGACCAAAAACAGTGTAGTCAGATTTTAAAGGCAAATTGATTTACAGGCCAAACCATAAACAAAAACCCAAATTTCGTGAAAATCGGATGAGATAAGACCAAGTTATAAAGGTGGGAAAATTCGACCGATGTCTATATATCATATATGAGGGTAACATTTGGACATGAATTTCGACCAAAAACAGTGTTGTCAGATTTTGATGCCAAATTGATTAGTGGGCCAAACCATGATTAATAACCCAAGTTTCCTGAAAGTCGGATGAGATTTGACCAAGTTATGGGGGTGGGAAATTTTGACCCATCCCTATATAGGAATCTTAGGGTAAGATTTTGACATGAAATTCGACTAAAAAATATGTGTTCGGCTATGAATGTCAGATTAATCTTGAGGGAAAACCAGGAAGAAAAAGCCAATCCTCGTGAATATCGGATGAGATATGACCAATATATGGGGGTGGGAAAATTCGACCTATGTCTATATATCATATATGAGGGTAACATTTGGACATGAATTTCGACCAAAAACAGTGTTGTCAGATTTTGATGCCAAATTGATTAGTGGGCCAAACCATGATTAATAACCCAAGTTTCCTGAAAATCGGATGAGATTTGACCAAGTTATGGGGGTGGGAAATTTTGACCCATCCCTATATAGGAATCTTAGGGTAAGATTTTGACAGGAAATTCGACTAAAAAATATGTGTTCGGCTATGAATGTCAGATTAATCTTGAGGGAAAACCAGGAAGAAAAAGCCAATCCTCGTGAATATCGGATGAGATATGACCAATATATGGGGGTGGGAAAATTCGACCTATGTCTATATATCATATATGAGGGTAACATTTGGACATGAATTTCGACCAAAAACAGTGTTGTCAGATTTTGATGCCAAATTGATTAGTGGGCCAAACCATGATTAATAACCCAAGTTTCGTGAAAATCGGATGAGATTTGACCAAGTTATGGGGGTGGGAGATTTTGACCCATCTCTATATAGGAATCTTGGGGTAAGATTTTGGCATGAAATTCGACTAAAAAATATGTATTCAGCTATGAATGCCAGATTAATCGGGAGGGAAAACCAAGAAGAAAAAGCCAATCCTCGTGAAAATCGGATGAGATATGACCAATTTATGGGGGTAGGAAAATTCGACCTACATATGTCTATATATCATATATGAGGGTAACATTTGGACATGAATTTCGACCAAAAACAGTGTTGTCAGATTTTGATGCCAAATTGATTAGTGGGCCAAACCATGATTAAGAACCCAAGTTTCGTGAAAATCGGATGAGATTTGACCAAGTTATGGGGGTGGGAAATTTTGACACATCTCTATATAGGAATCTTGGGGTAAGATTTTGGCATGAAATTCGACTAAAAAATATGTGCCCAGCTATGAATGCCAGATTAATCTGGAGGCAAAACCAGGAAGAAAAAACTAATCCTCGTGAAAATCGGATGAGATATGACCAATATATGGGGATAGGAAAATTCGACCTATGTCTATATATCATATATGAGGGTAACATTTGGACATGAATTTCGACCAAAAACAGTGTTGTCAGATTTTGATGCCAAATTGATAAGTGGGCCAAACCATGATTAAGAACCCAAGTTTCGTGAAAATCGGATGAGATTTGACCGAGTTATGGGGGTGGAAAATTTTGACCCATATAGGAATGGGAAATTTTGACCCATCCCTATATCTTGGGGTAAGATATTGACATGAAATTCGACTAAAAAATATGTGTTCGGCTATGAATGTCAGATTAATCTTGAGGGAAAACCAGGAAGAAAAAGCCAATCCTCGTGAATATCGGATGAGATATGACCAATATATGGGGGTGGGAAAATTCGACCTATGTCTATATATCATATATGAGGGTAACAATTGGACATGAATTTCGACCAAAACAGTGTTGTCAGATTTTGATGCCAAATTGATTAGTGGGCCAAACCATGATTAATAACCCAAGTTTCCTGAAAATCGGATGAGATTTGACCAAGTTATGGGGGTGGGAAATTTGGACCCATCCCTATATAGGAATCTTGGGGTAAGATTTTGACATGAAATTCGACTAAAAAATATGTGTTCGGCTATGAATGTCAGATTAATCTTGAGGGAAAGCCAGGAAGAAAACGCCAATCCTCGTGAATATCGGATGAGATATGACCAATATATTGGGGGTGGGAAAATTCGACCTATGTCTATATATCATATATGAGGGTAACATTTGGACATGAATTTCGACCAAAAACAGTGTTGTCAGATTTTGATGCCAAATTGATTAGTGGGCCAAACCATGATTAATAACCCAAGTTTCGTGAAAATCGAATGACATTTGACCAAGTTATGGGGGTGGGAAATTTTGACCCATCCCTATATAGGAATCTTGGGGTAAGATATTGGCATGAAATTCGACTAAAAAATATGTATTCAGCTATGAATGCCAGATTAATCTGGAGGGAAAACCAAGAAGAAAAAGCCAATCCTCGTGAAAATCGGATGAGATATGGCCAATTTATGGGGGTAGGAAAATTCGACCTACATATGTCTATATATCATATATGAGGGTAACATTTGGACATGAATTTCGACCAAAAACAGTGTTGTCAGATTTTGATGCCAAATTGATTAGTGGGCCAAACCATGATTAAGAACCCAAGTTTCGTGAAAATCGGATAAGATTTGACCAAGTAATGGGGGTGGAAAATTTTGACCCATGTCTATATAGGAATCTTGGGGTAAGATTGTGGCATGAATTTCGACTAAAAAATATGTGTTCGGCTATGAATGTCAGATTAATCTTGAGGGAAAGCCAAGAAGAAAAAGCCAATCCTCGTGAAAATCGGATGAGATATGACCAATTTATGGGGGTAGGAAAATTCGACCTACATATGTCTATATATCATATATGAGGGTAACATTTGGACATGAATTTCGACCAAAAACAGTGTTGTCAGATTTTGATGCCAAATTAATTAGTGGGCCAAACCATGATTAAGAACCCAAGTTTCGTGAAAATCGGATGAGATTTGACCAAGTAATGGGGGTGGAAAGTTTTGACCAATGTCTATATAGGAATGGGTAAGATTTTGGCATGAAATTCGACTAAAATATATGTGCTCAGCTATGAATGCTAGATTAATCTGGAGGCAAAACCAGAAAGAAAAAGCCAATCCTCGTGAAAATCGGATGAGATATGACCAATATATGGGGGTGGGAAAATTCGACCTATGTCTATATATCATATATGAGGGTAACATTTGGACATGAATTTCGACCAAAAACAGTGTTGTCAGATTTTGATGCCAAATTGATTAGTGGGCCAAACCATGATTAATAACCCAAGTTTCCTGAAAATCGGATGAGATTTGACCAAGTTATGGGGGTGGGAAATTTTGACCCATCCCTATATAGGAATCTTAGGGTAAGATTTTGACATGTAATTCGACTAAAAAATATGTGTTCGGCTATGAATGTCAGATTAATCTTGAGGGAAAACCAGGAAGAAAAAGCCAATCCTCGTGAATATCGGATGAGATATGACCAATATATGGGGGTGGGAAAATTCGACCTATGTCTATATATCATATATGAGGGTAACATTTGGACATGAATTTCGACCAAAAACAGTGTTGTCAGATTTTGATGCCAAATTGATTAGTGGGCCAAACCAAGTTATGGGGGTGGGAGATTTTGACCCATCTCTATATAGGAATCTTGGGGTAAGATTTTGGCATGAAATTCGACTAAAAAATATGTATTCAGCCATGAATGCCAGATTAATCGGGAGGGAAAACCAAGAAGAAAAAGCCAATCCTCGTGAAAATCGGATGTGATATGACCAATTTATGGGGGTAGGAAAATTCGACCTACATATGTCTATATATCATATATGAGGGTAACATTTGGACATGAATTTCGACCAAAAACAGTGCTGTCAGATTTTGATGCCAAATTGATTAGTGGGCCAAACCATGATTAAGAACCCAAGTTTCGTGAAAATCGGATGAGATTTGACCAAGTTATGGGGGTGGGAAATTTTGACACATCTCTATATAGGAATCTTGGGGTAAGATTTTGGCATGAAATTCGACTAAAAAATATGTGC